TCACATCTAAGGCGTAATGTGTCGCGTTTATGATTGAGAGATATTTGAATCTCGACATGTTTCTCTCTTCCCCATTTAATAACTTTCATTTAATTATTCCTATAGAACCAAATCCCAAGTTTTACTTCTCCTCGCTCGGTAATTATTTTTATTTTGTTTTAATGGAAAAATATAACTTTTAATTATTTTATTTTATATAAAGATCCTCTTAAAGAATATTGTTTACAGTACTGTATATATCTTATAATATAATGCCACGTATCTGTGTAAACTAAATAATCAGGATGAAAAATGCGCGCAGCAAAACAAGAAGGTGGACGTTGCTAAAATGTCCTCGCGATATCCTGGTCGATCCTTGTTTCTCGCAGGTTTTACGGCGGACGAGGGTCCGCCGCGCGGGATTCGTTCCTTTTTTGACCGAGATGAAATCAAAGAACGCAGGGAGAGGTCCGGTTAATGGGGCGAAGGTGGGACGGCCAAGCGGAGGGGGAGTGTGGAGAGGAGAGGAAGACGTGGACCGGGGCACAGCGACGTAAACCGTAACGATAACGATTATGGACGCAGTTACCGCGGGGCGTCCTTTCTTAACGATTACGTGCTCGAAAATTATTGCGCGTAATAACATTCCGTCGTTATTACTATTATTGTTATTATTATTATTATTATTAGTATATGCCGAGAAGAGGAGACTCTCACCGAGGCGCAGGAGGTGGGTCGGGGAAAGATGGGGAGGGGACGCATGCAGACCGGACGTGTCTTACGACACGGATTACACGGCTTTCGTACAGTAAAAAAAAAAAGAAAGAAGATAAAGTATGATAAATTAAAGTGAGGAGCGAGGTAAAAGAGTCATTTTCTCGTCTCTTCCCGGAGGAATCTTATAAGATATATATAAAATAATATTAGGACGTAATCAATGCACGCTGTGATGCGTGTAGTGCTCTCTACACGCAAATAGCACAAATTATGAATTTGCATGTTACGTGGACTGTAACTGTTTCTCTCGTCTTTCGTACTTCGCGCATGTTTTTATATTAAAACGATAAACCCCGCACGGGGAAATGTGTAACTGCTTCTCCGAATAATAATATGTACTCGAATAGTTTTTGCACTCGTGCTTTCGAGTCTAAATTACGGCGCGGAAAGTATGAGAGCCTCGATAAAATTCATCCGTAAAAAACGGCCGCCTCGATACGCGAGCTCGCCTAATTGCTCGTATTTTCTACATTCGGTATTACGCCCGAGTTTATCGGCCGCTCGTCGCGAGGGTGACACGATCGTAATCATCTAACGTGTCCGATTCGTCGACGTGACGAGATGACAGCGCCGCAGCTGGTTAACGAATCGGCGTCGCGCGAACGCGTTCCTGCGGAAAAAAAATCGCCCCTCATAAAAGTCATCGAGCTGGCGCGAATTACGCGCCGCTCGACTGTTATTTTTTTCTTTTTTTTTTTCCCCCGATGCCAATTGATTCAAAATTCGGCCCGATATATCGGCCGTAAATTTATTAGCCGTACAGGCCACTAAATTTCGCGCGAATCCATGATTGCCCACGGAAAATTCGATTTCTCGAGCGATCATGCGAAACGCGGGCGCATATTGACAAATGACATCGCATTTGCGAAACTGCGAAATAATCGCGCGTGTTTCTTATGTCTCTCCGAATGGCTCTCGCGATTTGTGAAAGTGTTACGCGTTTGCAACGAAATCGTATCGCCGGCCGTATTTCCAGTTCCTCGCGTCGTCTTACGGAACTGGAAATTAACTCGCGCGCAGATTTCCTTCGTCAAATACGAAAATTCATCGACAACGTAACGAGAATCCGAGAACGAAGAATCCTATCCCCACGGGGGGAGCTATTAATTAACGGATTTAAAATCGCGGGAGCGGATGTCTGCCAATCGGAGGAGGCTCGTGCGCGGACTTTTTCCGCGTACTTGAGCTTTTTTCTACGGAACGGAGCATCGCGTCGAATCTCTTTTCGATGGCCGTGGGCTAAACGATTCGACATATTTGCTTTCCATAGGATGTTTGCTCGCCTAGTATAAAAAAAAAAAAAAAAAAAAAAGAGAGGAGGAGAGAGA